TACACCTAAGAATCCACTGCCAGTTCTCGCCCAGCCGGTAAATGATCCAATTCTCAACAGATGTCCATCGTTATAGCTATTATACACATCTCTGCTATACCCCGCAACGCTGGGGCGTAGGATCACTGTGTCGCCTCTCGTTGTTAAGGCAGTCATCTGGTTAATAATAGCCAGGTTGTGCTTTCCAGGCTCATCTGTTATATAAATGACGCCACCTGACACGCATCTGGCAGCTGCATGGAACGATGCATAGGAATGGGACGTTTGAAACATATCCCAATCTGGAATTATGTTGAGATATCTTGTCAGCAAGCTGTTGTGGGCATTGCAAAAAGTATGCCATGTATGAGAAGATTCTATATCTGGGAAAAAGTCGTCTGAGTTTCTCAGTATGAGTCGAGGTTTGTTGGTAGGTAAGAGGGAGTGGAATATGATTTGGGGTGTCTGGGACATGCAGGATATGGACCTTGCTTGAAAGTGCCGCGACAATGACATGGACAAAGAATCCTGGTACGTTGTTATACAACGTTGCCGAATGGTTGCGCCTTCGAGGCTATCCAAAGCGGATTGGACGTCAGTCTTCACTGAATCTATACCTGCTGACGATAAGAAGGTGTAAAAATCATCATAAAACGAAGGTAAATCATCGGGATCGACGATTTTAATTTTGCTGGACGATAACTGCCCTGTTCTTTCGACCTCTATTGTGTTATACTTGGATGCTATTTCACCAGCAGGTGAAATGCCCCCCCAATAACCCAACAGAGCGTGCCATACAGAAACATGCTTTATCCTCTCGTTTTCTTTACGGATCTTAGCTATTGTTTGCTGTAGGCCATGCGGAAATCCAACCTGGCTTGCTTCAAAACGTGTTATACCCCGCTCAAACTGCGATTGGCCCTCGTTATCCAAAGACTGCCAACCGTCATCAATAATAAGGCTAGAAATTTGGATCCCATTTTTCTTAAGAGACTGAAGAGCGTTTAAAATATTTTGTTCAGTCAAATCCTGACCAAGTGCATTCCACGTGCAGTATGACAATCCATCATACCACTCCGGTTGCCATTTGAGTGTCGGCCCATTAGCTACCCCTGTATGAGCCGGCTCTTGGTCATTATCTGCTGGGTATATATGTTGTAAAGCCACTGAATAGTTTTGCGATTTCTTTCGAGCTTCATATATTGCCGCAGCCATGGCTATCTCAAATGAACTAGCAATTGCAGCCACAGCATCACTCTTCGCTGCGCGGTTGTTGTCATTTCTTGAACTTATGATGAGTTCACCTTCTTTACCAGATTGAAAGACGGTCAAAACATCGTCAATACCGCTCACAGAGACCAAAACCATCACGATACCATCTCGGTATACGAAAGATGAGACTAGAGCGTCTTCGTTCAAGTTATAGCTTGTCGTCCCTTGCCGTGGTGCTAGCCAAGATGCCGAAGCTCGAACAAGAGAAAAGGTTCGAACATAGTCTTTCGGGGTACCAAGCAAGATTCTGGAGGTCTTGCTCTCTCCGTTGACGGCCGGCTCAATCTGACAGCTGATATTCCAAAGTAAAGCACCTGCAGCGTCACTTCGCCCAGGTTTAACGTCAATATTGTTATTTATTGAATGCAGGTAGTTTTGCAGAGAGTATGTATTGTCATTCGATAAAGGTTTCATTGGTTCGATAATAATCTCCCCATTCTTAGCTTTAAACGTTTCATTAGCCCATTGCCATGCGCAGTCTGCCCTTGGTTTGTATTTGATAGTAAACTCTGCATGGTTCCTTTCTGTAGGAAGCGGTATTTCGCCAACGAATGCTTTCCGGAAGCATCTACTTGAAGTGTTATCACTGATTACAGTGAGCTGAGAGTCAGGGGAACTCTTTAATTCAAGTCCTGTCCAGGCGTCACTGCAAATATTGTGCCAAACGACAACCTCATAAGACTGTTCCGGAAAATGATGATCTGATTCAAGCACCACCGTAAAACTCAAGTTCTGTTACATATTCGTGTTAGCCTCCAAGTGAGAATCGACTAGAAATGTTATCACGCCTAGAATAAGATCTCTCAAGTGCAGAAGCAAAAGCTGTTCTCCTTACATTTGTGGCGTGGATATTATCTTGTGCCCCCCTTTTCCGATGTATAAATGTAAGCTGGCCCAGAGGAGGCCACGATGTTATATTGGAAGGAAGACACATCTCTAACCTGGGGATATATATTTATTGCAAGATCTTGCTCTATTATACGATCCACAGAACTGGTCGGAACCGTCTAGTAGTTATGAAGAAGCTGGGATAGAAGACTTCCACAGAAGCCCTCTTCTCGGTCTAAGCAAGCAGTAGTTGAGTAATTCTTTATCACTTCCGGATAAGTGGCCCAATATAACAACGGATGGCCTAATATATTCCTTATTTCGATACCGTTTATTCCTAGTTAATTTAGTGTGGTCAGACCTTGGTGGCCATGGGATCTATTGGGTGCAGGTTGGTCATGCAAGCAAGTCATCTAAATTAATCAACGCAGCAAGATGGTCAACTAGTTAGTAACTGCCTCATGTGAACGTCATTTCTGCGGGAAAAACAACTATTGGAAGACTTCTAGCTACAGAGAGCAATACGGTTATACCATTCTGTTTATGCTATATAACCTGTTAATATAAACAAACTAGTTACCTATTTTATGTGATATGGCATTAACCTTGGAGATCACCTCCCATGCCTCCAAATGTCACCGTCTTGATGGTAAGGAATTCATCGATTCCATACTTGCTACCCTCCCGACCAAATCCACTCTGTTTGACTCCACCAAATCTAGATTTAAAGTCAGCAAATGTTGTCCTAAATTGGGGTAGAAGGGTGAGATGCTTACGGGGCAACCGTGTCACTGATAATACCGGTGTTCACACCAACCATGCCCACCTCCAGGGCTTCGGCAACACGGAAGATGCGCTGCACATCCTTGCTGTAGAAATATCCAGCAAGGCCGACTTCAGCAGCGTTGGCAAGTTCCACGACGTCCTTCTCTGTCTCGAACGGATAAATGCCAGCTACAGGGCCGAAGGTTTCTTCGGATGCCATTCGCATGTCTTTTGTCATCTCGGTAACAACCGTAGGGAAAAAGAAGTTCGATCCGAGTTCAGGAGCTCTATTTCCGCCGATAATTACTTTACCGCCTTTCTCTTGAGCATCGCTGACATGTTCATGTACTTTGTCCATCGCACGGGAGTGAATGAGGGGTCCATGTGTAACTCCTTCATTAAACCCATGGCCCAGAATGAATCCTTCCACTTTCTCTGTGAATTTAGAAGTAAACTCATCATAGACACCTCTTTGGACGTAAAGGCGGTTAGCGCACACACATGTTTGGCCTGAACTGCGGAATTTCGATGCAATGGCACCCGCAACAGCAGCGTCGATATCAGAAACGTCGTCAAATACAATGAAGGGTGCGTTTCCTCCCAGTTCGAAAGACAACTTTTTCATTGTAGACGCAGACTGCTTCATAAGCAGCTTCCCTACTGCCGTTGAGCCAGTAAAGGATACTTTGCGGATCTCCGGAGCAGTTGTAAGAGATAGACCGATCTCCGGGGTGTTCTTCAAGGCAGTAACTATATTTACGACACCCTTTGGAATTCCTGCACGGGCAGCCAGCTCAGCTATAGCATTTGCAGTGAACGGCGTCTCTCCCGGAGACTTGGCCACAACAGTACAACCAGCAGCTAATGCCGGTGCGATCTTTCGCGTGATCATAGCCGCAGGGAAATTCCAGGGTGTGATGAAGCCGCAAACGCCGACAGGCTCTTTGATTGTCAGAATTCTGTTTCCAGGAATTGTAGCCGGAATAGTATCACCATAAATCCTGGGGGCTTCTTCGCTGAACCATTCGAAGAAACTAGCAGCATAGCTGACCTCTCCTTTTGCATCAGCTAACGGTTTCCCATTTTCCCATGTGATCAGAGTTGCTAGGTCTTCGGCATTATCTATCATCAACTGATGCCATCTTTGTAGCATCCTGGCGCGCTCGCGGCCAGTGGTCTTTCGGAAAGATGGGAATGCGGAAACGGCGGCATCGATTGCTTTCTGGGTATCGGCGGGAGTGAATTCGGGACAGGTGCCAATGAGTTTACCGGTTGAAGGATCTGTATGGAGTTTCATATAGCAGGTAATAGTCAGAGTTTGATATCATAGATTTGGTGACTGGAGGACTGTACCTTGGACCTCAAATGTCTCTCCAGAACTCGCATCTACCCATTCTCCATTAACGTAGCATTTTTCAATAAATAAAGATTTATCTTTCAACTAGAGTGGTTTGCACGTTAGATGTTATCTGAATAGGCTATATCAAAATATATCTACTTACCTGAGGGACTGTATGCATTGCGTAATGTCTTCTTCCGTATGACGGTGGGGGAATGCGAACAGAGTATGCAATATGCGGTCGAGAAAACTGCCTAGAGATCGAACGAAGAGCACTCATCATGGTAAATGTAGTAGAAAAGAATAGAGGCCAGGACAGCTATTTAAACTGGACGGCTGAGCTATGCTGACCTGACTCATGCAGGAGCGGGGACGAAAGGGCGTTCTTTAAGAAGTCGGGATCAAAACCGAAGCCGAAGCTTGGACAAAGTGACTAGCACTCTGGAGTAAGACAGGGATCTCAGAATGAAAACCTAAGCCTGTGGAATTAGCTAGACGAGATATATTGCTTGCGTGCCCCAGTCGTTATTCGTACTGCTGGTGCTTCTGTTGTTGTTGTTGTTGTTGTTGTTGTTGTTGTTGTTGTTGTTGTTGTTGTTGTTGTTGTTTTCGAAGTGCTATTCTGCTTGTAGCGGTTCCGGCTGTTTGGATGGAAGCTCTTTGAGGTGCCAAGACGGCATCTCGGTTCGGCGATATAAGCTTAACTATCGATGAAGGGACGCCGAGAGGAAAGGAAGGATGGAAGCTTTGTATTCAGTATAGCAGGGGGCTGGTAGGAAGCTACAAAGAGTGATAACTACTGAAAGCTGCTAAATATAATGTCATTTATACACCCGTTTGGCAAGCTGAACTTTCGACTCCGCCAATAGATCTGCATGGGCCTTTTTAAGATGCTGGTTAAGATTCCAAGCCCTAGAAAACCCTCTCAATTGACGCGGACAGCCTGCAACAGGACAGTATCTTTCGTCTTGTTTTGGATTGTCAATGCCACTGAACATTGGCCGGTTCCCCGTCGGTTGGGCTTCTGCGTCTGACTGGTCTGACTCTGAATGTCTCCAGCACGGCATGCCATCTTCTGTTTTCCCGAGTTGCACTGGGTTCTCGTACATAGTTCTAAACTCCTGATCTTCTCCAAACAGGTCTGCACACCGTCGAGAAGCCCTCATGACTGCCACTGTCGGCCATCCAGTCAACGAGGCCATGCCGAGAACTTCACTCCAGTCGCGAAGGCCGAAACGTACCGGGCGTTTTTGGGGACTTGTTTGAGAAGGGAGGTGATATTCGAATCTATCAACCCTATTTTCGCGGTCTTGTAATGGCGAAGTTGACGTAATCTTATCATCTCCACTATTGACACCGTCCTCAGACCCTATTACAGAGCAAGCGTAATTAATTTGACTTGGGGACCTAGCCTCGTCATTTAGTGTGCTGCTTCTGGCTCCTGTATTTGGCAATTTTGACTCTCTTTTTGATCCTCGGGATACCGCAGCACATGTACTCCGTGCTGCCTGGAGGTTCAGTAAAAGGTTGTCAAGCCTTTCTAGGATATTTCTTGCCTCTGGGCGAAGAAGCTTCCTAGACTTTTCATCATCAGTCTGAATTACAGGATGAAGATCAGGGCTTGGTGGTAACAAGTCATCGGATCTATTTTCGTCCTTGACTGGCACACTTTCACTATCATATCCTGATGGTGATCCTTCCCTCTCAAACCGTCGAGCATCACGCCAGTCCCAAGGTCTTGCCTCAAACCTTTGTCTGGATATTCTCATCATGTGCGCGAGGATACATTCTTCCAATTCCGCACTGGGCCTATTATCCGGCACCATGCTCAGTGTCCAAGCATCGTCCGGGTCCTTGTTTATACGTTCATCCGCTCTTGGAACTTCATCGGTAGGCATAGGCCAAGCGGTCCAGCCTCTGTTGGGAGCAAAAGAGAATATTGAATCTTGTTGCTCTTCACTTGAAGCTCCATTAAACGTTTCTGTTGCCAGTGTTCTGGCTTTGGCTTTCTTTGCTTTGTTCTTAAGCGTAAACGAGTTGTATAGGTGAATAGAAAGATCTCTTGACCGCATGGTTTCCAATGCAGCATATTCGTGCCGTTCCCGTCTAGTCCATCCTCTCCAGGTGGATGGTGGCCCATGGAATTTATTTAACCTCGGAGGGCTTCCCTCTAGATCTTTACGTGAAGACGGAGGCTCATACTCTTCGTCATCAGAATCGCCAACGTCGTTCGCATGTGGTATTTCTGAATCTTCACCCTTGGAGCCACGTATCTCGCTTGGGCCACGATCATCCTCTACTTTATCATCATTCACAAAGTCAGAGTAAGATGAGTTTCCTCCAGTAGCAGCATACTGGGCTTCCTGGTTGCTTTGTATTTCATCTGGATTGAAAAGCGATGTGTACTTGCTCAGACTGGGGGAAACAACAATGCTGGAGCTCGGCGCCGACATCTTATTCAAATAAACATGGATCCAAGGTTACAAGCAGAGCAAAACGGTCTTTCAGAGACTCAATAAGACCATCTATAATTGATTTTCATCGTGAAGTAAACGTAGAAAAACGAAAGATTGGTTGCAGTCAAATCTTTATCAATCTGGCGGCTCTAACCAACCAGGCAGCTAAAACCTTGTAGCTCCGTCCAGCACCCGTCACGTGCGAGTGACAGTGAGGCCCGGTTGATATTGACAATTACTTGGTTGGAGAAATAAAGCTACAATCACGCAGGTAGAATACTTTAGATACCTAGTTGTAATTAGTGAAAACAGTTTTAATTCATCTTTTAATTTTATTCTATGTCTACGTCATCATCGGTTATGAACTCCTTTCATTTCATGAGGCCCTGTTCAATCTTCCGTCGTTTCCTCCTGAGCTTCTCTGCTTCTTCCTCTTTCTTCTTGTTGGAGTATAGCATTTTATCCAACAATTTACGCTTCTTCCTGCTAAGCATCATCTTTTGCCGTTCAAGTTCTTCTTCAGCCTTCTTCTTTTCGGCGGCGTACTTCTTGGACTTGGCCCCCTGGCCTTTCTTCGATTTCTTAGTCGACTCAGGCTCGTTTACTGGTTGGAGACCCAATGCTTCGGCTTCAAGCTCCCTTTGGTGTTGTTTCTGTGCGGCATCACCTTCATCCTCAGATTCTTCGTCGAGTTCTGGTTCCTCGTCAAAGCCGCCAAAAGATTCCTCCGCTTCCACTTCGCTGTCGTCTTCTTCGTCATCATCTGAGTTTGCAATTTCCATACCACCATTTAGTGATTCTTTGTCTGACTCTTCCCCGTCGACGGCATCTTCCTCTTCATCTATTTCCGCAGTGGCTTCATTTTCCTCCTCTTCCTCCTCGCTCTCCTCCTCTTCCTCGGCAGCTCTCTCAGCCTCGCCCTCTGCTTCTTGATCTGCTAAACTCACTCGAGGGTCATACTCGCCATTAGACGGCTTGACCCATGGGCTAAGATGTGGAGGTAGAATGGCACCAGGAGCATATAAATCTGGTCTGATAAGTTTCCCGTCATTCACGCAATCCCATACCCATTGTGGCTGAACATATATCCGGCCAGGAATTCTGTGTCCGGGTCGTACTCTCGGAACCGATTCCTCGCTTTCTTGAGGATTTTGGGGTAGTGGAGGCAGAGCCGACTCTGCAAGTGGAGGTCGATCAACAATTTGATGTGTTATCCTGGGGTCCAATTCATCATGTGTGAAGGCGCCATCTCCTAGAACTGAGTCCCATCCTACACGCTTACAGCCAAAGGCACGTAGAAGAAACTCAAGGGGTGCACGAGGAGCTTCTCTTGAAATGAAAATGGTAAGTGGTGCAAATAAGGCGGCGGCTTCATTTCCACTAATCTGTGGCTGGGGGAGAGTATCCGCATCTGGCGCTGCTGGCTCAAAGGTATCAATTGCATCCTCACGTTCAGTTGGTGTTTCCACTGTGGGAGCCTCTGAATTCGTGTCAATTTTGACATTCTTTAAAATTGTGTTGACCTTTTCCTGGACCTCGTTTGAAACAGACTCCGTCTCCTTATTTTCAACAGCCTCCATGGCGGTGTTTTCACCATCGTCGATCTTCTTGCCTTCCAAAGTAAAGGCTGCAAGCTCAGCACCCTGCTCATCACTCCTGACATCGAACTTTGGAGGATATACTAGCCCGATAGAGGTGTAGAGACGGAAATTGACAAAGCCAAGCAGAGTCGTGTAGAACTCTACGAACGTTCCCATGATCCTGAAGTCAATGTCGCCAGCCACCTGCTGCACGAAGCGGTATGGAACGAGCCATATGATATCCTGACCCTGAATTGTAGCTTGATAATATATCCCCTTTATCGAGAGGAAAGACTTGCGAAGCGAGTTGGTTGCAATTAAATAGTGTTGGAATTCGTGGCAAAGCCTTTGACAACGGGCGATGGTCTTTGGAGGAACCGTCGCAGTCGAAGGTAGGTTAGCGAAGAGGAATAGTAGCGACAGAGCATCGTCTAGATCTCGCAGGGCATCGATGAATGTCGGATAGCGCTCCTTGACAAGATGATCAAGCGTAAGCTTTGGTGCAAGGTTCTTCTCTAAGCGTGACGCATCTCCGACCTGACCACGTCCGAGAGCTCTAGCAATCTTCTTTGAAAGGGCTTTCTGTTCGCGGAACTTATTCAGGAGTGGCTCGTGGAGAAGATACTGTATGTCTCGAGTATAGTAAAAGGTGGTGTTTGCGGTTGCAGACTTCGATGCCTTCTTCTTGTTCCTGGGTTCACGAGGATAGATTCCTGCGTCCTAGAGTCAACGCTGCTTCCACATCTACCGCATCCCTAACTCTCTAGAGCGTACCTTTGAAAATGCATAGTCGCCTGAAATCTGGAAGTGAAATCTGCAACTTTCTCACTGCCTGAGTTCTTGTAATATAATTTTTGGCCTGGCCAGAGGTTCCTATTTGCACATATCAGCATGCGATCTCCTTGAGCATAAAACACCCATTGAAGCAGACGGTACCTTTCTTCTTAAGCTTCCCCATCTTTTCGGCTTTTTCGACAGCCTGGTATGTGTGTAGATATGTCGTAGAAAGAAACCGGCGCAAATCGGTTTTTTCTTCTTCTTCCTAAAGGTCGAAACTTTTTTTATCACAAAAAAAAAAAAAAAAAAAGCTCGAGATGGTCCGAGCGTCTCCACTTTATCCTTTTTTTTACTTTCCCGCGCGCCAAAAGAAACCAACACCAAAGCAGCGGCCAGAAGGAAGAGAGATACTTGCTGCGTCGACTGCGATGCTTGTCCGGCAGACATACTGAGCGATGCCAATTGACAGGAGGAAGCTCTGTGTGTTTGGGGCGGCGGTCGCTCTGCGACTTGTCCTTATCTTGCTGTTCCCCGGCCTCCCCGACCTACTAACTGGCCGTGTCGAAGTGTCAACTCCGATCAGCAGCTTCAAGCGGTGTACGTATTACAAACAAATCCTCTCCTGGGGCCGTGGAGGTACATGCTAACCCTCCCCCCTCCAACTATACACAGTGCAGGAAGGCTTGTTTTTATATCTTCGGGATGTCTCCCCTTACGACGGCGGGGTGTTTCATCAGGTGCGCATTTAGATTCGAGGCTACCATGTTACTCAATAGCCAGCCCTTTTCTAACCAGATGCCACTGCGGGATATAGGCACCGATCCTCCTCCCTCTGTTCTCCCTCATACCACAGTCCCATGGATATACTATCCTGACGGTTCTTGTTTACACGCTGCTAGATCTCATTAACGCCAATGCGCTAATTGAGATATCAAGTTCGGGCGAGTCGGTTGTGTCAAGGCTATTCACTTCCCCGAGAAAGAAGATAAGATGGGATGGCATAGCTATTGTGGTGGGGTACGGCATACAATAGTCCCCGCGAATATATATTTAGCATCTAACGATTATATATCTAGATACCTGTTCAACCCCTTTACGATAGCAACATGCCTTGGGCGCCCTACCACAGCTTTCACAAACTCCGCGATAATATATGCGATATCAAATGCTATTGCTGGCAGAAGTGTCAACTCTATGCTAGCTCTGGGTCTGGCCTCCTATCTCTCCGTCTATCCCGCTCTCTTGTTCCCGCCTTTAGTCTTACTTTGCTATGATCATTATATTAGCAAGGTAAAGTCTGGAGGCAGCTGCGTATCATACGTCGCCTCGCACTCTCTCATTTTCGTAGCGGATATTGCAGGATTTTTGGTGATATCATATGGTGTAACCGGTTACTCTTGGGATTTCATCTCTGCTACGTATGGCGCGCACCTACTGGTTCCCGACTTGACCCCTAATGCCGGCTTATGGTGGTACTTCCTGATAGAGATATTCGACCCGTTCCGTGAATTCTTCCTAGGGGTATTTTGGCTGCACCTAGCAAGTTACGTGGGGGGTCTGACCATACGACTAAGGCGACAGCCGCTTTTCGTCATGACATGCCTTCTTGGTATATTCGCCATATTCAAGCCTTACCCCGGCATCTCCGATGTTTCGATATATCTGTCGTTCCTTACGCTTTACCGACACATATTCCCTCGTATGTATTTCCATATCCGTTGTAACCTGTTAAATCCACTAACACGATCTAGTAATGCGCTATACCTTCCTCTCCGTCTCGGCTTTGTTATATGCCAGTCTTCTGGGCCCGATCTTTTATCACCTGTGGATATACGCAGGTTCGGGAAACGCCAACTTCTTCTATGCCATCACGCTTGTATGGAGTCTTGGGCTTTCTATCCTCGTTGCGGACTCTTTATACGCTGTTCTCAGGGATGAGTGGGACGAAGAACGGCCAGAAGTAAGAGGGAAAGAGGCGAGACAGATATGATGGTATAGCCTTCAATTGAGATCAGGTGCCGAGATGTCCATCTTCTCGCTGCTATCGTTCGTAAACGGTTGGGACATAATCATATAATCGTACTCTTTCACTTTCCCGCTCCGTAATTTGGCTGGCTTTGGTGAATTCGCGTCCTCCGTGAAACCAAGCTGTTCGTAAAATCGAATAGCACTCGTGTTAGACTTAAAGACCGTAAGCATCCCCTTTTGAAGACCTATGTTCTTGCCAGTGTCTTCGAATATTTGAAGTAACTGTCTTCCGACACCCTTGTGCTGTACCTCGGGGGCAAGGTGAATTTCATAACAGTAGAGAACCTGCATCTTGTCTTCCTCGGTGGCCATAAAGGACAAAAAGCCTCCAACTGTCGGCATATCCAAAGGACCTTTGGTTTCGTTATTCTTTTCCAAAACAAGTACCATATATCGCATGTCTAACAGTTTCATTTCTAATTTCTTTTTGCGGGCAGACCAGCCAGAGGCCGACTGCTTATATGCTGCCGAACTGGTGAGATATATAAGATCATAACACGCATTCAAATATGGCTCAGGTATTGAGGCAGCAGTATAAAACTGAAGTGAGTAGGAGACGTGCCCGGGCTCTCCATTGGTATCATCCGAACTTGCAGTAGGGAGTCTGATGGTGAGATCCAAGGCATATGGCGGTATATATCGATGAATAAACTCGCTGAAAGGAGCCGAGTTAACCCTTTCAACTAGAGATGTATGCTTTGGCCCTACAACGCTCTTAGCATTACAGAGTTGGACGTTGGAAATAAGTGGGCTAGCTAGTCACCTTTCATGCGTGTTCTTGCTATATTTATAGGGCGTTCAGTAAGTTGCGGCGTCTCCGCAGACAACGTTGGCTCTGCGTTCCTTTTTCGTTTTTCTATCAGCATCGTCTTCTGATTCTGCGACAGATGGGCGGGTTCGTAGATGGTCGTTGCCGAGTTGTAGGTAGGAAGCGCGCTCGAAACTAACAGGCTAACCAACAGCTTTAACCCGTTAGTTAACTGGGCGCCTAGCTAACTAGCTAACTAACGACCTAGTGGCGGCGCGGCTAACGAGTTATAGTTAACTACCAGGTATTGCTTCCTCGATTCTTCAGACCAAAATTTATTAGTGCTTAGCATTTTTATACCCTGTTCACAAGAGCTATAGCAAGACTCCAGCCTTCATGACTTCACGCATCTAATGAAGAGCTGGCCATGCAAGGGACCATCCGACTGCTGGCTGGGGCTGCAAGGCCGGGCTCGAGGTTAAAATCGCCACCGCTGAATTTAGAGCAGGTAGGCCGTTTGTTTTGAACTGTCATACGCGGATAACTCAAGAGAGGCAAGGATGTACTGATGGAATGCTTGCAGTTTATCATACGCCAACGGGTTTTGAGTCTATGGCGTGAAATCCTGCGATCAACCAAAAGTGAGCAGCCTACCATGTACAAAAGTACTTTGTCTTCAAGGGATTAATGAATGAGCTGCTGCCTGGATATTCAGGGATACCCAATTCTTCTACTAAGCATGAATTGAGATCATTTGCGCGCGGAGAGTTTGAACGGCATAAAAACGTCACGGATGTGGTATGTCAAAAAGTTCACGACGTTTCCTCTGTCTGGTATATAAACATGTTTGTAACTTCGAAGTAGGGTCATATACGATATCTACTCTCGGTATGGTTAATTTGAGCAAATGTTACGGAGCTATATACCCGTTAAGTGTACTGACTTTCTACGAATATAGACTGGAAAGACAGAGTTTAATACTATGAGACGGTATATAGACGAACAGATTGTCTAGCTTGCCCTGGGGGGTTCTCTTCATTTATTCATTCATTATAGAGATCTTTCATTTTGGTGTTATACACATGTACATTACCTCGCAGAGTAGAGCTCAGCTAAAATTGGGTGTATGCTCCTTTCCAAACCCTGGCACTACAATGGCCACGAACGCCTGTCCCGATTGATAGTATACAAATTGCAGCGATTGACGACAACAATAATATCCTCCGCCTCTACTTCGAGCACCATGAGAGATTCTTCACAGCTGAAAGTACACCGCCTGAACTGCCGTCCTTTTTGTCGCCGGATTCCTTGGCTGCTTCCTCTGAGGTGTCGCGCCCTGCGGCATCCGGTGCCGAGTCTGCCACGAAGGGCTTCACTTCAACCCCCTTTGCGGCTTGTTCGATGGTAGCATGTCTGCTCTGCCAGTCCTTGTCCTCTTGCTCTCTTATTTCTAGTTCTTTCAGCCAGGCATCCCGCTTCGCCTGTTGTTTCTTCAGGTCCATGGCCTTTTCCAGCTGTTTTCGCTGGTCCCGTTCTGTCTTGTAGTACACACTGCCGGCGCATACGGCGAGTAGAGTGAATGCTTGTGCATATATACGAGCGCGGAACATGCGATTGACCTGTACGGAATCGCCCATCTTCATAGACCGGTATGCCCGAAACAGAGCATAGCAAGTGGCACCGATTCCTATATTGCGACCACGGGCCCGTCAGTAAACAGATACCGTTCACCATAGAGAATGTTTCCGTATAATTCATTTAAAGGAGAGCGAAGGAAGAAGAAGACTCACCCAGAGGAACCAGTGGCTCTTCTTTTAGTCGGCGGCCCAGCTTCTTCCAGGCATTGTCCTGGAAAAAGTCTCTATTGCACAAGGTCAGCTCAGCTTGGGCTCGCCGCGGGGGAGAGAATCGCAGGCGAAAAGAAACTTACGGGTCATCATCAAACGACGATGGCAACGGCTTATCGCTCATTGTGCTCAACGGTCCTACTAATGGCCTGGAACGAGGCAGAGGGACTACTTTGCTGTCTGGATCTACACAATAAACCATCACCCGCACCCATCACAGGTGGACCATCAAAGATAGCAGCGGAATTTTGTAGGACCGAGACTTCGTTGTGCCGGGCACCTGAGGTCGGAAGGGCTTTCGTCCCTACGGCGGGCTTCCCGGCATTTGACAGTCTGCGTTTGAATATTTGATAGAAATGTGCTATATTCTAGAGGTACTTCATGACACGGCGTAACTTGGTGATGTCGCTGAGCCGGGTAGCCAATACGGGTGCAAATACCCGGATCCGACAATTTGAACCCTTTTACCCAGACACCACCTGAGATAGCCAAATTGGTCAGCCAGTTTGTAAAATAGGGGACGTTAGAGTCAGCATTCATGGCCTAACATGCCTGGGCTGTCTCTCTCAATATCTCTGCCGGACAGGGGGCTTCCCTCCCACTCTCCCATCGAGCAGAGAGCAATGGGAGGATTCGGGCCTTGGGATGGATGCCACATCGCGCATGCCGCACACCTGCCAGCTCACTTGCATGCACTTCAAGGAGAATAAAGAAGCTACGCGGTAGATAGAAGGGAGAACCCCATGCATGCATGCCCTTGAACGAATAGTTATATCGCGAATATATCGGGTGGAAACCGACATTGGTGGCGCTGGTCTCTCTCGCACAAACAAGCGATAATTAAGTACTTTTTCTAGCCATCAGATGCAGCTAACGGGAACAAGAAGAAGACTAGCAGCGATTGACTGATCCCCCTTTCACTGACGCTCCTTCATCCTCGCCGCTGTCAATTCGATGTTTGCTGGCTATCGTACTTCATGCCTGGTCTGCTCCTCCTTCATCGCCCAAAAGCCCGCAGGCTAGTTAAGTTAACTAAGTTAGTTAAGCCCTGGAGGGGGGAAAAGAAAGAAAATTGCATCATAAGTAGAATTTTAGTGAGCAAAAAGTGTTAAGGACTTCCATAAGCTAAATATAAAAATAAAATACTCAATCGACGAGCTAGAAGAGTCATAATCCTTGCTTGCCTAGCTATCTATTCCCCTGCAAGGCCAGCTCACGTTTACCGTTATCTTCTCAGCTACCTAAAACACTCGGAATTCGTTGACAGACGCAGCAGCTTGTTCTCACAGCTACCCAACGGAGACCGCAATGGGCGACCAACTCCCAAGCGGCGCAAAAACTCCTAGACGGAACACCCTCTCGCTGACCGAGTACACTGCTACTCCCTCTCCTCCCTCCAAGTCAGAGGAATGTCCGCCAGAATGGGACATCCCCGAGGGCTTCCTGCTGCCAAACGGATACCCAGATGTATGGTCGGCAGCTCAGGTTTTGGTAGACATGGCATACTAACAAGCGGCTGCAGTACATACGGCTCATTCTGACATCTCGAGTATATGATGTGATTCAAGAAACGCCTCTTACACATGCTGTCAACCTCAGCAACCCGCTAGAATGCAAGATCATGCTGAAGCGGGAGGATCTCCTGCCCGTCTTTAGCTTCAAGCTCCGGGGTGCCTATAACAAAATGGCCCATCTACAGGGAGAGAAGCGGTGGAAAGGAGTCATTGCTTGCTCTGCTGGTAAGATACAAGCTGCTCTATCTGTATACGCTTTTGCCCACGTGGTAGTACGTGCTGACACTGTATGACTAGGAAACCATGCGCAGGGTGTTGCATACTCTGCACGCCATTTAAAAATCCCAGCGACAATCGTCATGCCATCAGGCACCCCGGCAATTAAACACAAGAACGTCTCAAGGCTAGGTGGGACGGTCATCCTTCACGGACAAGACTTTGATGCTGCGAAGGAAGAAGCGCAGAGGCTCGAGAAGCTCCATCACCTCACCAACATCCCGCCGTTCGATGACCCGTATGTCATTGCTGGAAAGGCACATGTGGCATGGAACTTCTCAGACAAGCAAACTTACAAAACCTAGAAGCTGTCTTTTGCTGCGTTGGAGGAGGCGGTCTGATCGCCGGTATAGGTACCTACATCAAACGCATTGCGCCCAACGTCAAGGTTATAGGAGTCGAGGCTGTTGATGCCAATGCCATGAAACAATCTTTGGAGACCGGAACACGCATCACACTCAAAGAGGTTGGCCTATTCGCCGATGGTGCTGCCGTACGAGCAGTTGGCAAGGAGACTTTCCGGCTCTGCAGAGAGGTGGTAGACGAAATCATCGAGGTATCAACTGATGAGACCTGCGCTGCAATCAAGGATATGTTCGAAGACACTAGGTCAGTCGTCGAGCCTGCGGGAGCCCTGGCACTAGCTGGCTTGAAGAAATACATATCGAAATACCCTTCAAGGAATTCAAACAGAGAGCTAGTCGCTGTTGCGTCCGGAGCGAATATGAACTTCGATAGGCTTCGTTTTGTGGCAGAGCGCGCCGGTCTTGGAGAAAAGAAAGAAGCTTTGCTACGTGTTTCTATTCCCGAGCAGCCTGGCGCCTTTGCCAAACTTATAGATATTGTAATGCCGCATTCTGTCACAGAGTTCAGCTACCGGTACTCTGGCAAGGAATTCGCCGATATCTTCATGGGAATATCACTTTCCACGTCATCAGATGCCCATGAATTGCAAGCCCTGGCCGCTCAGATTCGAAATGGGGGCATGGAAGCATCAGATTTGAGCAACGATGAGCTTGCAAAAACACATCTTCGGTATCTTGTTGGTGGACGCACAAGTACCCCAGACGAAAGATTGTTCATGTTTGAGTTCCCTGAACGTCCCGGCGCTTTGGAGAAATTCCTCACTACCCTTCGCCCAAATCAAAATATCACTCTCTTCCACTATCGAAACTTTGGAGGGGATGTTGCTAAAGTCCTCGCTGGTATCCAGTGCCCACCTGATGAAAGAGAAGCTCTTGGCGCGTTCCTTCACGATCTCAGCTATCCTTTCACCGAGTGTACGGAATCGCCGGTATATCAAATGTTCCTTAGGCAATAATAGTTCATTCATGAACGCACCTGAGCTCTTATTGACTCATCTGCAAACATTCTAAAGAGTACTCAACGGAGTAATGATTGGATTATCGGGCTTCCACGTATCGTTCCCGCAAGGTAATGCAATTAGTTCATAGGTGATCATTTGTTCTTCAAGTACTCAAGAGAGTCGACTTCTTAATTAGAGTATGCGATGGCATATAATACCACGAATTTTTAATGTGAATGATGACCCATATCGATTTAAGTCGCAGCAATATAAAGAATAGATATATTTTACAATCTCGTAGTTAGCTGTTTTCGAATTGAACCAGCCAAGGACCCAGCCTGGATGGCTTATATAATGGAACCTTGAATCGGAATACGGTTGAATAAAGTTCCATAATGCCAAGACCTCGAAATCTGAGCGCTCACGCGCAACGCTGGACGGCAAGCAATTATTGCAAGATCTCAAGAAATATCAACTGGCACCCTTAACAAACAGCTCCTTCTCATTGAAGCCTGCTGTAGGCATCTCAGAATATTCCGTATCCCTTGCGACCCTGCGACCTTGCTACATAACCACAAGTGACTGTTACGCTCTCTCCCACACTCAACACCGGCACTATGCTGGGCCTTCGATCCCTCCTCTCCACGCCTTCGAAACTTCCACTCTCCCAATTCACATCAGTTCTTCCGCGGAGTATATGCCGAACCGCCTTTATTCGAGCCTTTTCGCAAGCCTCTGGGGCAAACCTTTCAACTAAGTCGATATGGAGAACTTCTGAGACCTTATCAACCGTCCTGAAGAATCTGTGCTCAAAAGGTGTGCAGTCTTTTGGCCAGACCCGAGGAATGAAGACACGATCATCTGTTAAGCGACTATGTGAAGGGTGCAAGGTACGATATTCTAGTTATAGAGTGTGGTGTTGGGTCTACTCTAGTAGTAGCGCTGAGGAGAACCGCCCTTAACACAAGTACCATCATAAGAGATGGGAAACAAGGCTGTTACTAACTTATGCTGCTTCTTCATGTAGCCTGTTCGACGGAAGAATCGTGTGTACATTATTTGGTATGTTCGAGGAAATCAGCTCTTTTTTTTCAGTATGCTAACTGCCATTTTAGCTCGAAGAACCCGAAACACAAGCAGAGGCAAGGCAAATAGGTGAAATAGATGTTGGAATTAAATGTATTTGTACCCGTTTTTAAACAAGGGACTTGAGGGATTTGCAAATCTATAACGTGGTATAGACCATCTTTGCTGCTGTTTTCCACTTTTTAACTTTGTATAATATGATGACCTTACCCAACCTGCGTTTAAATACCATATCTCGTGCACTCTACGTTCAGAATTCTTCAGTAGCGAGCTCAAGATATCTTCCAGGAAGCATTTCATTTACTACTCAGCCTACAACCGCTTATCGTTGTCTCATGCACAGTATTCTAGTATCAATAAACTGCTCTTGGTTTTCGTGTGCTGCTCAATAATACTTCTAGCCTATGTGGTACTGCATAGGTATCAATTCATTTATTACATAATCAGGAACAATGACATAATGTGACTTTGGTAAATTGGCCTTGGCAAAAAGTTTATTTTTGAATTTCCAAAAAGTTTTGAATTAAAGATTTGAAGATTGAAGATTTGTAGAAGCAAATGAACTAATTGGCCTGAAAGGAATCAACAACTGCTTCAAGATGAGAGCTCACACCTTGATGCGACGGCCAGTCCGCGTGTTTACGAATCTTTCGCGCACTTCAATTCGATTGCAGTCGACGACACCGTTTGCCCAACGATGCCTCTTCAACACTCCACTCATTTCCAACAGCACCCCCCTTCCCCGGTTTCCGCTGAGCGGACGGTGGGAGCCCCGGAGGTGTCTAGCAACTGCAGCAGAGATGTAAGCGTGTGAAATCCTCTGAATGAACGTGGACCTGTGGACTCAATTGCTAATTATCTTCTTTTTAATCGATAGCCTTGAGAAAGCCGCCAACCCTGAGGAACTCACAGAAGCCACGATTATAGAGAATATGAAGCCAGATGAAATTAAACACATGTCACGAATGCGAAATATTGGAATTGCTGTTAGTTTCACTCCTTCTGTTCCTGGGTAAACAGTCACTCACCATGTTCTTACGATAGGCACATATCGACAGCGGAAAAACTACTTCGACGGAGCGAGTCTTGTTCTACACCGGACGCATTAAGGCTATCCATGAGGTCCGTGGGCGTGATTCCGTTGGCGCAAAGATGGACTCTATGGATCTCGAGCGTGAGAAGGGAATTACAATCCAGTCAGCGGCCACCTTCTGTGACTGGGTCAAGAAAGAGAATGGCAAAGACGAAACCTACCACATCAACTTGATCGACACCCCTGGACACATTGATTTTACAATTGAAGTCGAAAGAGCTCTTAGAGTTCTTGATGGTGCCGTTTTGATTCTTTGTGCTGTTTCCGGTGTCCAATCGCAGACCATGACTGTTGATCGACAAATGAGAAGATACAATGTTCCCCGAATTTCGTTCATTAACAAAATGGACCGCATGGGCGCAAACCCTTTCAAAGCAGTGGATCAGATCAACCAGAAACTTAAGATCCACGCTGCTGCTGTGCAGGTGCCAATTGGGAAAGAGGACGAGTTCAAGGGCGTTGTCGATTTAATCAGAATGAAGGCAATCTACAATGAAGGATCCAACGGCGAAATCATTGTTGAGAAGGATGAAATCCCTGAAGATCTCCTTGATGTTGTTCAGGAGAGACGAAACAAACTGATCGAAACCCTCGCTGATGTCGACGATGAGATTGCAGAAATATACCTAGACGAGAAAGTACCAACTCCGGAGGAGATCAAAGCAGCTATCCGCAGAGCTACTATTTCTTTAAAGTTCACTCCTGTTTTCATGGGATCTGCGTTAGCTGATAAGTCTGTTCAACCTATGCTTGATGGTGTCTGCGACTACCTCCCCAGCCCTGCAGAAGTCCCCAATTTGGCTCTTGACCAGAAGCGAAACGAAGCTTCTGTCAAGCTTGTTCCATATGCCGATCTTCCTTTCGTCGGACTAGCCTTCAAGCTTGAAGAGAGTAACTTCGGTCAGCTTACCTACATTCGTGTATACCAGGGTACTCTACGAAAGAGCATGAACGTGTTCAACGTGAAGAATAACAAGAAAATCAAGGTTCCACGAATTGTACGAATGCACTCAAACGAGATGGAGGAAGTTGCAGAGATTGGACCCGGTGAAATTTGTGCTGTTTTTGGCGTCGACTGTGCATCTGGTGATACGTTTACGGACGGAAAACTGGGATACACCATGTCTTCCATGTTTGTGCCTGAGCCCGTCATTTCGTTATCTATCAAACCCAAAAGCTCCAAAGATCTAGCCAACTTCTCCAAGGCTATCAACCGTTTCCAGCGAGAAGACCCTACATTCCGAGTTTACTTTGATCCAGAGAGTGAGGAAACCGTCATTTCAGGAATGGGTGAATTGCACCTCGACATCTACGTTGAGCGCATGCGTCGTGAATACCGTGTCGACTGCGTCACAGGAAGGCCTAGAGTGGCATACCGTGAAGCCCTTGGAAAGCGTGTCGACTTCGATCACCTGTTGAAGAAACAGAGTGGTGGTCCTGGTGACTATGCCCGTGTCGTTGGTTGGCTAGAGCCATCTCCAAAACTTGAAGTCAATGAGTTCGAGGAACAAATCGTTGGTGGAAGCATATCGGAGAAGTTCTTGTACGCTTGTGAAAAGGGTTTCAACTTGGCCTGCGAGAAGGGTCCTTTGATCGGCCATAAAGTCCTTGGCACAAGGATGGTGATCAATGATGGTGCTACCCATATGACGGACTCTTCAGAAATGGCATTCAAGAATGCAACCCAGCAAGCCTTTAGAAAGGCCTTCAAAGAGGGCGAGCCCCATATCCTTGAACCTCTCATGAAGATCGTTATCACTGCCCCAACAGAATTCCAAGGTGATATCATCGGTCTGCTGAACAAGCGCAATGCCATAATCAACGATACCGAAACAGGTGTAGATGAATTTACCATCTTTGCTGATTGCAGTTTGAACAGCATGTTCGGCTTCAGCAGTCATTTGCGAGCTGCCACCCAGGGTAAAGGTGAATTTACCATGGAATTCAGTCATTACGAGAAGGCTCCTGGCCAGCTCCAGTAAGTAACCCTTTTTCAATTGCACTAGAATTTTCTGGGTATCGAATGCTAACAATACTCTTTGCAATTATAGGAAAGAGCTCATTTCTGAATACGAAAAGGCCCAGGCTGCACGACATAAGTAAGGCCTCGATTGATGTGCCATTCCAATGTCTCATGCAAGCGAGTTACGGCTGCTGCACCCATTCCGTTCATAATTGCTACCATATATAATCTGCTTTTCCCCGGGATGCGACTATATAAGGTCGCCCTCTTCGCTTTATTGTATATTAGAAAGATTTTTGGGAGGAGCACAGGATGGGTCAGTTTCTTAGATTTCCTCTTTGACAGTTTTGGCGTTTCATGCCGTTCTCCAAAGCATTTATCCTAGTTCTCCTATTCTCCAACGCACCTGTGTACTATAGATTGTACAATTCCCCTTAGAGCTCAAAAAGTGGCCTCTCTTTGTTAACCCTAACCTCAAGGCGATGAGAAGGCCAAATGGGTGGCGATTTATGAGGCGAATATACACAAAAGATAGACTTTCCTGCTACAATCAACCCAGCTAATGATGAATTTAGAATAATATGACTTGATAGATTATATTCTCTATTTCTTCTTATTAAGCTCTAGGAGCGTAAGTCAACTCTGAACGTCTATATTGGTTTATCGAGAAGTCTCAGGAGAGCAACAGCAACGGTATTGAGAGTACCGATTTCATTATGACCTGTGGGGTTGTAGTAGGGTGTTAGCGATTAGTACGGGTAGAAGGGTAATTAATTAAGAGAATAAATAAAGAACATCATACCTCCATATCTAACCCTTTCCCACCTGACTCTCTTTAATGCCTTACTAGGCCCATCCATTCTCTCCCAGACGGTGGATTGGATGACTCCATCTTCAGAAGTATGATTGTGCGTAAAGGATCCAAGCTCAACAGCCATTTCCCCACCAGTAGCTGCGTCCCATACACTCCTTCCCTCACGCCATGGAATATCACGGTCGTTGATAGCGTGTATAATGGTCAAATCAAATGGTAACGACTCGTGGTTCTGTGCCTGTTTTGGGGCAATGCCTGTCAAAGCGGCAAGTCTAGCTGCTGTGTCCCATCGATCCAGGAGGCGATCCAGTATGTATTTCTTTAGCTGTGGGTATTGAAGTAAAGGTGAAAGAATTGGAGGAATAAAACCCATGATGCAGTAAGAGTGCAAAAGCTGTGGGATATTAGTAAATGGTGCCATGAGAATGACTCCTGCAAATGACTCTTTAGCCTTTACAGGGGAGGAGTCTGAAGGATTTCCGAACGTATGGCGTTCAGCTAGGGCACTGGCAACAGCTGTTCCTAAGCTTTGACCTGCAATGACAATCCTTTTGGGGGAAACTGAGAGTGGTGGTGAGGTTAGGTATTTAACTACAGTAAGAGCATCGGTGATTAACCCTTCTTCGGTTGGTTTACCAGTGGATCTCCCAAACCCCCTATAGTCAAAGGCAATGACATGGACCGGCCGAGACGGAGTGGAGGCAGAGAGGAAATTTTGATAGACTTTGGGACGATATCCAGTCCCGATGTCAGCTGCATTCCCATGAACTGTAATAGGGTATTAGTAGGGCGGTAATTCAATAAGATATGCATCTAGATCCGATACGTACGGTTCACGACAACCCTTGAGTTTTTCTCCTTTGCTAACAGCTCGAATGCTGGTGTCTTGGTAATGTCATGAGGAGGCCCTGAAGGGGGTTTCTGTAGAAGCAGTTCCTCATTGTCCTTGTAAAGATGCGTGGGAATAATGTGCCAGGAGTAAAGTGTTTCATTATCAGGTGTAGTAAGAGTAAAAGGCTGGACCTGGGATTCTGTTTCTTGTTAATATGGCAATTATGAGTGCATCAAGCTCGGGGAATACATACTTAGGAACCCGAAACATTCGACATTGTCCAAATCAAGGCATTTTGATGGATTGATTCCATTGGAGTATAGTACGCTAAAAAGAGTATCAGTACATGTGATATACAAATGGTAAAAAGAGAGAGAGAGCTTGAATAGATACCCTCTCTGGACAGCTGGATGTGTCAAGGACAGGACAGCTAGTAAATATAGAAGGCCAGTAGCTGCCAGAAGCCAGTAGGCCTTTTTGAAAATCGGAAGAAGCTCCATGGATCAAACAGTCGTAGTATATCAAATCATCATCAGCCTGTGTCCTGGATCAGTCACCACGAAACCGAGGTTTTATACCGGCCGCACGTAACCTGAATAACCGCAGCTAGGAAAGTATCAGGCCAGCGTGCTTGTCATCAAATGAGCAGAAATATATTATTATGGTGAATTACGCAACCGCCAACCGTGAATATGTACAAGAGTGAAGAAAGCAAATATCCTCCGTCGTTCGGGAAAAAGGAGGCTGAAAATCACGAGCGCAAAGTTCCGCGCTTTCGGGATTTTCCTTTTTAAAACTAACGACTTCAACATCTCGCGTCTTGGCCGCACCTTTGATTCTGCGCGCCGCGGAAGGCCCTTTTCAACCAACAACGAGGCTAGAGCTTTGCCTGTTCAGTTGTCAGCATGGCAGAGAAGCGAAAGCAGCCTGGACCGGGCAAGAATCGCGGCGGCCGGCCCCGCAAGAAAAGACTCGAAGACGCTGCGGAGGCAGCTCCATCTCCAAAGCGACAGCGAAGACGGGAGCCGTCAGCTACGCCTTCGAAGAAGGCCACTGCAACACCTGCGCCGTCTCTCCCCGTAGAGCCTCCCGTGGAAGATTCACTACCTACCAAGATATCCGAGAATCAGACGCTACCGACTCTACCCCGACCGCAAACACAGGGCTCCCTATCAGACTATCAGTCATATGCAGAAAGGTGCGCCTACATGCTGGAGATGGAGATATATTCCGGATAAGTTAACTTGGGAGTCAAGGATCGCTAATATTTTCTCCAAGCAGTGGTGTTATTTCGGCAGCGCTGCATAGATCGCGGACGAGATGGCTTCATGATTGTCTGTTCGAGAAGTACTGGACCAAACCGTCAAAGAAAAAGAATCAACTTCAACCGACATTTCAAAACCCTCCAAAGGACTCAATGATGAAATTAGGACCTTGTACGATGGTTATTGAACCGCATTATTTCGATATCATGCTTTATGCCGTACGACGACCGCAATCCCAACAGCCGAACCAGCAGCAGCAGCAGCAGCAGCAGAAACCCATGGTTCAACTACAGTATACACCCCCAAGTAACTCGAGCCAGTTTCATGAGTACAATCCTCGACTACCTCCAGCTCAAGCGCCACCAATTAAATCTTCCAATACCGTCCCTCCTCCCCAAGCTTCCCGTCAGCCGCAACAGCAATATCAGCATCAACAACCACCATTACCACCACCTCCCCCTGCCCCTCCGCAGCAGCAACAACAGCAACCCCGGCAACCACTCCCGTTACCACACCATCCTCCCCATTCACAGCCTCAAGCACCTCCGCCTACCAATGCACCGCCCCCTGGACCCGCTCATCAACCCCCGGCATCTCAACCTCATGGTCCTAACATCCCTCAAAAGCCGCCAAATCCTCCACCTGGAAAACCGAGCACCGACCCTGTTATCCAGCTCCTCGCCAATAGAGCTGCTACCAACCCCGATCTAAGAGCATTAATGAGGATAGTAGCGGATAGTCAAGCTGACCAGGAACAGCTTCGAGCCTTTCAGGCACACATTGACGAAATAAACGCGATTATTGCTAGTAGAAACTCGAAGGACTCACAACCAAATCAATCACAAGCAAAGCCAGAACTTCCCACGCAGATGGGCGCACATCCAACTTTAACTAACGCTGCACAAAACCGAGTTCATACCCCCATCGCGTCACGCAATCCAGCAGTGGCCCCTGGGCCAGTACCCTATCACCATCAAAATCAACACTCTCATCCCCCGGGACCGCAGTATCCCCCTGGGCCTCCCGGACAGCAAGGGGCAAATTCAATTAAGACTAAACATACCCAGAAAGTACCTCCGCCTCAAAATGGATACTTCCGCCCTCAGTATTCACAGCCAGTTTCACAGCCTGCAAGAATGGATATAAAAAGCGTAGTCTTTGAGTTCATTCTACCCGCAGGCTCGAATAATGGCCCAACCGGAGATCGATATTTATTTCCAGAAAATATGATATTGGATTATTTTCCCGGGAATACTACGGTTATTGCATCTTTCTTAGCAATTAAAAAAATCGGCCCGCCAGGAGCTTCGACGGATTTAGATAAGAAAGCTCCCGTGAAGGTAAGGGGCAAAAAGGCCAAGCTGCTTCAAGCCGCCGCTGCCTCTAATTCAGGTGACAGCCCTCTCAAACCTCCTGCTTCGCAACCTGAAACCGTAAAGGATACCAAAGGGACAAATGTGGTTGCAACTGCGGAAGATTCTAAGACAGTAGATGCCCCTGAAACACCTGATGATAATGCATCTTCAACTTCAGGAACCAAACCCAAAGCTAAGGAATCTAATGTCAAGGAATACTACCAGCCTGTCACATTACGACTACATGCAAGCAATCCTCGAACCCTTGAACCTCTCGGGCGTGTTGTAAAACCTCCTGGAGAAGTGCGGGATTATATGAATGGTGTTATGGATAGGATTGAGCGGGCCGATATCGAATATCTTGCCTTCAGACTGCCACAAGAACCCCGACGAGTTCGTGGGGCTGCAGCAGGAGACGAAATTTCAAAACTCGCAGGGCCTGCCCGAGGCGCTTCAAAGCTCAATGGAACAGAAAGTGAATCAGGTGTGGCCACTCCTCGGCATGGGGACAGAGATAATAATGGTAGCATATCTGCTGAAGAAGTACTGCAAGACCATTATGATCTTCCATCAGGCCTTGCACCTCTCAGACCATGAATTTTTTTTTTTTTTTTTTTTTTTTTTTTCCCATTATCTTTTATGCATTGTCGGCGTATACCGCACTTTCTTTTGGGTATCAGGGAGGGAGAAGCATCTTATGAATCTGCATCAATTAACGGGATAGAGTACATGTTTGGAAAGGCGTGGCTCAAAAATCAATAACATTCTTGCAACTTAGTCATTATTATTACTTCATAAAATCATTAAGACAGTTTCTCCCGCTGCTTGACTCCTATAACTTCTCTTTTGGCGACCGTTTTATCGGCGTCTTGCTAAATCTCCAATGATCCCAGCCATTTCCAACAAGGCTCTCCCAGTCTGTTCCTCGGAATCACCACCACCAACATTTAGATGGATTTCCCGGCGTCTTTCAGCTTCGCGAGCTTCAAAATTCCAATTAGCCTGCTGGCGCGCAACAGCATCAGGTATATCGCTATTTGCTGTGGAGGTACGACTGTGATATGGTGACTGTGCAGGCGTGGGCGCCGTCTGAACAACCCCCCAAACTTCGATGTTATAGATTGATATTTTAATCGTTTCACTTTCTGCTTTCGATGGGGGGTGTGATGGAGACCAACGTGCGATTCCAGGGGGAAGAAACACGCCCTCCTCATGACTTAGGCCATTCGACATGACGAATTCAGCATTTTCCAGAGCGGGGTCGATCCACATACTACCACTACCAGCAGGCGTAGGGCGGCTTGAGTCCATCGATGTGCGTGTTGGTGGAGGTATTTTGCAGCCAATAGCTATACCAGACTTGGTAGAAAACGATACCACAGGTAGGTTGGATTTCAGAGAATTGATTGATGGAGAACCCTGCATTACTGCATGCCTAGGACCTAGCTGGAATAGGCAGGGTAGTTGGTACTGATGGGATGTGTCATAGTGGGACGTTGACGTCGATGCGGGTATTTTCCAGGGTTGCGGAATATATGCTCCAACAGTTATTATATCAGCTTCCTCACCAGAAGAATGACTATTAGAACCTGTTACCAATAAAATGCTTGGAGCATCCCAAGTAAGAACGTTATGCGAAAAGGATGTCAGAGATTCGCCATGGGTATCAGAAGAAAATACTCCGTGTAGACGTGTTCCATTCTGCAGAAAGTTGGGAGTTGGAGATGAGGTCGAAAGGAAGAAGGAAAGATGGGAGATCACTGCGGAATCTAGAATGCAGGGTTTGAAAGACCCTGGAAGGATTATTGGCGGGTGTGAACATGAAAAGGACAACTCTGCCTTTTTCTGTTTCTCTTCACTAACTGAGCAAGTTCCTGAGTCCTTTCTCCTGGACAAGTCAAGATTCTTGCTGAAAAGTAGATGCTCAAAAAGTGGAGTAAGAGAATCAAACATGTACGGAAGGGAGGTCGAGATCACCCAGTAGAAGGTCTCGTAATCTATCCCTTTGGTACGGTCTCCGATGTCGAATGAAGTGAGAATGTTTTCAACACAGTAACGAGCAGATTTTAAGGACTCCTCATTGAGCTGAGAGAAATATTCTGAGGTCTTTTCGCAGGATTGTAACGGGCCTATAACAACAAACAGCATCAATAACCGTTGGAATGTGTCAAATGAAATTTGAGCTTCGTAGACGGTCCGGTCAATGCGTTGGTCATGCTTAAACACTTCAATAGCGTCCAAAGACTCAAGTGCTGCAAGAACTAGGTCATCGTCATCATTGTAGTCGTCGGCATCATTCGAAGGTTTGTCAACTGAGAACCCTGCTTCATCAGATCGGGTTTTGGATTGACCCTGCTCGTTATCCGACTTGTCCCCAGATTTGATGGGAGAATCTTCCTTTCTTCTGATATCTGCGAGACTTCCAAATAGTAGCTTGATACGGTCTTTCTTTCCTCTTCGCAAAACCTTGCCGTAGCGGTCTGTCAGCAGAACAATTACTTTCACCATGGCGTCAAAGGTGAGAACACTTGGTGCTAGAGTATTTTGAAAAGGGAATGCTCCAAGGTAAGAGACCATGCGAAAAATGACTGGACCTGCATCAAGAGTACCAAGGCCAAATTTCTCGTCACCATCCGGTATGCCCAGGAATCTGGATAGAACTTCTTCGTTCCAGTAGTGAATGTCGCCTTGTTTCAATGCCAACGAGTAAAAATTATCCTTCAGATGGGTTAATTCCAGCGGTGTGAAACATTTTGATGCAAACCGATGAGCCAGAATGCGGCTCATTTCCTCTGGGAAGGGTTAGACATGCATACTCATTAAAAAATTCCGACATTGCCCTGTAGAGTAATATACATAAGTTGGCTTCCTAGACTTACCAGGTGACGCTCCATGACCACTGGTACTGGTTGATTGACCAGCACCCATAGTGACGGTAATTCAAACTGCGTGAGATAAGTAGTCTAGGTACTGTTAGGTAGTGTAGATATTGACATCCGTGCCAGGTAGTTACCCTGCTGGTTCGTTCAAGTCTGGGTGGGGATTGATATGGATTCTAATCCGGGGGGTTTTCCGGAGGCTATATAATCCGCAGAAAAAGATGGGTGAATGCGCCCGATTTAGAAATTCCACGCTAATGTCATTTTTAGGTAGTTTATCATATAATTGTTTTGATCAATGACTGTATATCAGCCTTTTTGCTTCCAGGTTGCAGCCTCGAATGTTGTTTCTTGTTGCTTATGAATTTGGCTTGGAACGCCAAGTCACGTGGAAGTCGCATGACACGTCATACTAGTTCTTTTTAGGCTAGCGTGTAGTTGTTCTAGACCTGCGGCTCTTTGTCACGTGGATAATCCCTCAAACGAGAGGTAAAAATAGAAACTCGCTTTTGTAGCAGGCAAGTATATTGCAGCAATTAGAACTGTTATAGTGATATATGGTTCAGTATATGGGTGCTTATATACTTGGAGAACAGTATTTTATAGATGTGTCACTATTAATCGCTAGAAAACTATCAAACAAGAACCACACCGACGCCGTGCCTCTTGCGCTCATCAGGCTCATTGTTGCTATCAACGCCACCGGCAATAGGTGCTGTTCTGTAATTGAAGAGATAGTAGTGAAGCTGTCCATCTCCAGCACCAAACTTGAGCTTTTCGAGGAACAGAGGGTTATCGTGTAATGTCAGGGCATTGAATACATCGAATTTCTCCTAAATAGATCGGTCAGCAGGGAGAGTTACAGGGTGGACTGGAGTGGATAGAAAGATTACCTTCTTAGCGATAATCAATGCGTCATTGATAAGCAGCTGCAGACGCTCCTTCAGACCCTTTTCATTTTCGGCAAAAGCTGTCTCTGTCGAATAGTAGTACAAGTATGCAGCTCTGACATTGCTATGTTTCTCGTTTTGGATCACAGAGGACTCCAGAGAATAAAATGAAAAAAAGTCCGTAATTTGATGGGTATCTCTGTCTTCGACGACGAACGAATATACGACAGTCTCCGATGTGTTTTCCTTGTTGATGAATAGATGTTGTATCTCCTCTTCACTGAAAGTCTGCGAGAGCTCAAATCGTTTCATGTAACGGTTTAGAAGGCTAGACACTGCGCTGACATCTTTGGCTTCCATCGGTCGTAGTCCTGGTGTGGCCGTCGCTGATGGCAGCTGGTTTCGTGCAACCTGCCGGGCTTTTGTAGAACCTGCTGGCAGACCAGAAAACCCGACTTCATATAGCTTCAACCAATCCAGAGCTCGGTGGTAATAGCGACATGAGCTGATCGGCGTGGGCAGAACGATGCCGACAGTATAGACAGCTTGGAACACGCCTCTCAAATAACATCTTCGAGTTATTTCCTTTATCAAAACCGGCGCCAGACGCTTGGATCGTAGCTTTTTGTGGACGCATAGGAAATCGATACCGACAGATCGTATTATTTTTCCACGTACACAAATTTCGATAGGAATACCACAAATGGCTGCCACTAGCTTCCTGGATTTTGAAGCTCGAACTCCAACGTGCCAATCGCTAGTCCATCCAGGCGCCTTAAGGGCCCTTATGCAGAGTTAGCTAGGTTCAATGAACGACAAGAGGTACATTAGTTTAAAGCACCAACCAGTTTAAAAAGTCTTTCGAGTAGTTAAACCGAAACATCTCGCTCTCATCCTCCACGTAATGGTCTGTAAGGAGCTCATACAGCTCCTGTGTCTCTTTATCATCGTTCAGGTCCAGGGTAACCCATTCAAACCCATCAATCAACGGACCTGGCGCCTTCGGTACAGTCGCAATATCAATCTCCTTGATCGGTCCGTCCACTATTTCACCCTTGTCGTCGAATCTTATAACCGGCTGAGTTTGCCAGAACTTATATGATGCCATATCCTTCTTGTTTTTCGGGTTGGCCGCAAGTCCGGCTAGCAGATCCTTGATGTCCATTTTCCGCATCAATTCTGCTGCCTTTTCACTATCCAGGCCGGCGAGTTCGCCTTTCAACGCAGGGTTGGAGTCCATCAGCGCCTGTGCCGCTTTCGTGCTGAGTTCTATCGTTGCTTTGCCCTTGCCCTTGCCCTTGTCGCCGCTGCTCGTGGTAGTTGAGCCATTCTTGCTTGCGCCGCTGTCGTGTACATCGTTCTGCTGGCCAGGGGCCAGCTCTGCGTCTTGTTTATCTGCCATGCTGCGGTCAGCGTCTTAGTTGTCGGCGTGCTATCCAAGCTGAAGGAGAAGTTGGCGGGGATGAGGGGCAGAGGTGTGCGGGTTGGGCTTTATTTAAAAAAGATTTCATTAGGAGTTTAGTTTCTGTGTCCATCATGTGGTTGTGACCCCTGGAGTTCCTCGTTTTTCCTTCTACCGCGATTTCGTTAGGCGCATATCATATTTGATATTCTCGAGGGGGCTTGGTTACACTTCAGCATTTCTCTGACCCGTGGGCTTGAACAGGGGTTATTGTAGCCGTTTATTTGGCTAACTAGATGACTATTAATATTAGCTACTCCCACTCTACCAAGGTTAACTAACAGCTATCTACGGTAATCCACGTTGGAACCTTGTATGAATCTGTCCTTCAAATAAGCAGGGAATACCTATACAAGGTGCAGATATTTAACGTAGTAGAAGGTACGTCTAGATCAAGTTTGATAGAGTGATCTGGTCGTGCGCATATGAGTGATCGAGTGACATGAATTGTGGCGCTTGCTAGTTAATAGAAGTGCTTCCAGGCCCTGATACCAGGCTCTATGTAGAAAAAATAAATATAAAAAACAACTCCCGTTATGGAATCATGTTTCAAGTTGAATGAGAACACCGGGTTAAAATGCAAGCACATGTCGAAGCAAGTACGGAGCAGCCGAAAAGAAAGCAAAAAGAGCCTAGCTGTGTGGAACACAGCTTTAAGTCCCTTTGACCTGAGGATTCGTCTCTAGAACTTCAAGGAGGCCGCCGATAAGGTGTAAGCTGCCAGTGGCCAATACACTGACAGAAACACTCTCTGAAGAAGAGTCCTCTTCGTTGTGTGCTGCGGCTATATTGCGCGCAGTCTCCACGGCTTCTTCTATCGTGGCCTTGACTTCCACTTCAGTGTTTGATGACAAGCTATGCCATACCTTCGCTAGGTTATTCTGAACGCTGAGTTTCTCAACATCTGAGGCATCTGTATTGATGCTCACGAGGTCTGGTCGGTATCCCGCCTCTTTGAAAGTCACATTCGTGCAAAATATGGCATGGGTAAAGACACAGTTGCCGGCAGTCAGTGCTTTGTGAAGGGTATTTGCCAGCGCTGTGCTGTCCCGCGTCTGCTGGTTAAAAATCAAGATGCAAGGTTTCCTTTTGCCTTCAGTAGGCCGTGTCTGTGTATACGGCAGGCTTGAGAACCAGTTCCCAGCAACTTCAATACTATCGGCCGTATGTCCTCCATCGATGTGCCAGACCAAACCCTTTTCCTTTCTGATTTCACATCGGCCACCTAGTTTTACCCCTTCGAGGCCGGCCTTGAACTTTTCGGGTAGAGGGGTCTGGTCGGCGTACGATGGTACATCAAGGAAGCCAAGTTTCTTTAAAAATGAGCTACAGATAGCTACTGCCAGCTCTGCATTTTTGTTTTGAAACTCGCCTGAGAGGCCCAATGAAATCTTCCCGGGGACGAGGTCCGGGTGGCCCTGTGCGACATGCAGTTGCGTTTTTCTTTCCTCCGCCCGTTTTCGAAGGACACCCATTGCAGTCTCAGGCTGTGGTGCGGTGTAGGCCACGGTTCCAGGCTTCATGATCCCTGCCTTATGCCACGCTATTTCTTCGATGGTCGAGCCCAACATGGCCACATGATCGATCCCCAGGCTGGTTATGCCTTCGACCACAGGGTTCACCACAATATTCGTTGTGTCGTACTCCCCGCCTATACCACACTCTATAATAGCAGCGTCTACGTTCTCCCTCAAGTATGTGTGGAACGCCATTATGGTAAGATATCGGAAGTAGTTCGGTTTCATATTCGGCCCTTTCGGATCCTCCCCTCTGGCGCGCGCATCTTCTTCCAGCAGATCCCATATTTCAAAAAAGTATTTCGTGAATTGTGCCTCGGTTAGTGGGGAATTATTAATTTGTATCCTTTCCCGTACGAATCGAAGATGAGGAGAGGTATAGAGGCCGATCTTTTCAAACTTAGGGGTTGACTCTGAAGTTGAGGTATCCGCATTCTTTTTCTGAGTCAGGTATTGCGATAAAATGGATGATATAAACGCGCATGTCGACCCTTTGCCCTTGGTACCGGCGATGTGTATTATATTCAATCGATCAAAGTCAGATGACTACCAGTAAAATGAAGGTAGAATAACGGTTAGCAGAGCGCCTGGCAGCTTTTCGGGGGCAGTAAATAGGGGACTTTAGCAACTCACTTTGTGTCCTATTTTCCTGCACCACTCAATTGTTTCTGGTATTGACTGCTCGTTCAGAACACGACCAGACTGGCGCATAGCATTAATAATGGAGAAATTTGTTTGAAGCGAATTCAACGCCGCAATAGCGTCCTGCAGAGCAAGTCCTGTGTCAGTCGAAAGCCCTCCGGCGGGGAGCCGTGTGGACAAGCAATAGGTAGGCTTACCCCATATGTCCGATCCATCGTAGAAATCTGGCGGCAGGACCGCGAGAGATAGTGAGTACGGGATTTCAAGACTATATGAGCCCAATGGCTTCTGATTAGCATCGAGAGTTGTGAAAGGAGCTGCTGGGGGTTTGTTCTGGTTCTGCGCTTGCCGTTATTGCGTCTTCCATCCCTCCTTTTGACGTTTCGGACCGAAGAGAACTTTTTCTCTTATCGGAGCTTATCGCGCTGCTGCAGGAACAGCCAAACATGCATAGGAGCCGAACACTTTTTCGTAGGCAAAGATAAACCACCTGTCGATGTTATCGACATGCTGGAGAAGCACAAGGCAGCATGATAACTTGTATTAAACATATTGTTACTATAAACTCGAATGGGCCGCAGCAGGGAAGGAAAAAGAGGAAATGCAAAAGGAGCCGCGTCTATACACAAAATTGATACAAAAGAAAGGGAAGACAGAAAACCCGGTCTATAAATGTCCATCTACTCTATCCTCTTTTTGCCTTCTTCCATAAAGCCGAGCCGTGCGTTACTCACTCCTCGCTGGCGTCCCGTAGTCGGTATAAAGTCACCAATGAGCTTATCCTTGCTCGCCCGACGAAGGGCTTCTGCATATCCTTCTGCTCCTGTTGCAGGGGTGTTGAGTTTTGGCCAGTTGACCTATGTATCTAATTAGTAAAAAAGACGGAGGGACACCCGAAACACGAACTGCCGGCTACTTACATATAACATGCCGTGAGAATGTATGAAATTTAGACACCAGGCAGCAACTACTATCCAAAAGATAAGGAAGATCCTCAAGGGCCATCCGGTAGAGTCTGGCAGCTGGCGAGTGAATGTAGCTACCAATATCATGAATATTGCTGCTCCTAAGATGTATGGGATGGATTGGATAACTAGGGGTCTTCGGTCGGCAAACACATATGATGCAGTGCTGGAGGGGAGGTAGGTGCCATGGAAGAGATCAAAGGCGTCTTGTCTCGGTCCATCCATAAAATTATTCAAGATATACCTGGTGATGGAGTTGTTGCCATCCTGAAGAGCACCGGCCTTCGTTCGCTCACCGGTTCGAGTGAAGTCGGTCTTCAGAGCGCCGGTCCCAGAGTACGACTTTGAGACAACATCTGCGTTGTCAGCCCACATATTTCGGAAGAGGTCTCGGAAGACCAAATCATCATCAGTCTTCTCTCCTGGCATCAAGATACCGCAATCGATAAATTGGCGGGTCAAGGTATATCGGCCAAGCATGCTCTGAACAACGTTCGTTCGGTCCAGACAATCCATACAATTTGTTCGAACGACTGAGGATTGCATTCTTCTCGCTTCCAGAGTACCCGATGGGTTACCTAACGACTCAATGCCACTGAAGTACTGGCCGCGCTGGAGGCCCTCATTCAGTTGGTTCAAAAGAAGTTCCGCTCTGTGCCACTGCAGACCTTTGGTTTCATTGTGGAAATCAAAGTATATGTAATGGAGTCGGTCCATCAGTTGCTCTTTACTGGAAGATTCTAAGGTATGCATTTTTTCAGGAGAGAGCATATCGGATTCCTTTGCTTCGGTTGGCGAAGATAAGAGTAACCTCATCATCTGCTCATAGGCCCTTTTCATCTGCTCTTCGCGACCCTTTTGATTGACCAGATTGACGAGGAAGTTCTCTCCGTAGATCTTGATTTGGTCCGAGAAGTGTTTTCGAGCTGCTGAAGATGCGGCGTCCACACCACGCACGGCAAGTTTTGGAGTATAATGCAAATTGTTCACTTCAGCCCAGTAGACTGGAATACTTCCACGGGTCTGAACAAATGATAGGACCTGCAGCTCCTTGTGGCTCTTCTCTCCTATTTTGCTGTCTCCTATACCAACCCCTCCTGCAAACCCAGAGACTGCTCCATTTGAATCGTTCAAAATAGCGATCTGTTCTGTCTCGTTATAATTTGAGACATTTCCATGTTCATCAATTCCACGGGAAAAATATCGGGTGCCTGCTCTGAACCTCGAACGGCGGGTTATAAGAGCAAAGGTAAATGGGGTAGATTTGATTTTGGCAGTAGTTATACGCAGCATGCCAAACATGACTGGCAATATATACGGGTCAACATCTGACGACTGTCCACTCCTGATCCCTGTATTTTCGGATAGCCCGGTGCTAAAATCTATCAGGTCCGTCTGTATGAAACGGTTCCAAAAAAATCGGTCGTCCGCTCGTTTCCAAAGAGGCAGTGAAAGGTCACTCTGGGACTGGCGCTGGAAACTATTGGTGATATCAAGCGAGTAGGAATAACACATCGGCCCCGTGGCCAGTAGTTTCTTTAGGAGTGCGAGGTAGGCATCTTCGTCCGGATCGTGGAGAGGAGTCTCACGGAGAGGTAGGAATTCAGTCGCAACGACCTTATATACCATATGTCCCCTCAGTCTCCCCATCGGCTGTTCTTTCGTAATGACAATGACATATTTATCTACAATATTTAGTTTCATTCCCCCTACGTAGACCAGATATCAAAGAGGGGAGCAGGCGGCGGTCGTACCAAGCTTCAATTTGACAATACCCAATATTCCAGCAATGCTAGAGACTCGTTTCGCCTGATGAGTGGAGGCCTTCTCAAGTCGCAAGTCGCCTGTCGGTCGGTCTATGACCAAGCTATGAGCGGTGGAAGCAGAGGCCGATCTAAAGGCATAGCAATGCGGCGAGGCGTAGAGGTTGATGTCGCGGAAAGGGAGATTTGGCGACATGTTTTTCGGGGCAGTCCGGACAGGCTCGCCAGGCTTGAGTGTAGAATGATGATAATAAAAGGTATCTTCTGTATTCAGAACATAGCCTATTGGCCTGCTGGGTTTTGCAGAGTGTAGCAGGGTAATAAACAAGAAGCACTTGCTTGCGGGATGATGTCTTGTGGACAACGCAGGAGGTTGGCGAACCGCGACGCTAACTAGTTAGCTAGTCCGTTCACGTTTATGACGGCTAGGCAGTTTCAGCCACTGACTTGGTCGTTTATTTATATATCAAACACGCCGGGGGGGGGAAGAGTATTAGCAGAAGACTGGAGACTACTCCGTTGGTTCTGATTAGGAGCGTTAGAAGAATTCCCTGCTCTTGATATGCTTCGCGATGAGATCTCAAGGTACACGATAGGAGAGCATGGAGTACTATTATTGCCTTAACATTCATCACTTTTCAATTACGACGGTACCCTTGAGTTACTAGGACCACGATAAAGTCTTAAAACGCATGGTTTATTCCGATTATTGCTGTCAAATCTATCAAGTAGCAAAAACATAATGCTTGGTTCGTGACATTATGTCCTGCAAACACCATTTGACACCACCCTAGGCATTAAGTCATAGCTATCAACTTCCATCGTAGTTGCTATTATATCATGGAGCATATATCCTAATAGAAATAAGATACCATACTGAGCAAAAGGGGAGTCTGTGATGAAGAATCGAAACAAGTTTTCGAAGCAGGCTGGATATTGACTCAGCTGAAAACCATCAAATGACGAATTGTTCGCACCGGAAAGAATAGCGACTCTATCTTCAAGGCCAGTTAGGGATTCTTCACCAATATCAATTGGGAGGGGCGGGCGTGATAGCCAGAAGCCTATTTTTTCTTTCGTAGAAGACGGTAAATCGAGAATAGATTGCAAATAGAATGGGGTGTAGTTGAGCCGGTTGCAATCGTGGATTATCTCCACCCTTTTTGGGGTTTTCGTTGCTACTGCAATATGTTAATTATTGATTAAATATTTGGATCATCCGGCAATCTAGGTTGTAAGGCCGCATTGCATCATCAAGGTGAAGTAGTCAAGGTTTAGCCGACTTGAAAACAATACCAGGAAGCTGATATGTGTGGATAAGTATTTGTTATGTAACTGCGATGGGTAAAGATGGAGCATAATCGAGGACTTGTAACGTGTGATAGCGCTATGCCAAGTTGAAATTTATGCCATGTAGATGTACTGATATCCACGCTGAAACCGACATTTCCAATCCCAAGCCTGCAGGCAGTGAAATGAAGTACGACGACACACCGTAACGCTGGGCTTGCAAGACATAGAAGGCGTAAAGCGTACATCGGCCGCCGTGTTAGGGTATATAGGTGTAACGACGGATCCGGAAGATGATTAATGAGAAAGGAAAGGCAGGTAGGTAATCATCTCTTCCCGCGATACCGTCCTCGTGGATATCTGCCATCTCGGCCACGGTTCTCTCTCCTCCACTCTCTCTCCCGCTCTTCCTCCCGCTCCTGTTCCTCTCTGATCCTTGCTCGTTCACTTTCAATCTCCTCCTGCGTCTTTTCCACTCTGACGGTCGGTTTGGGCAAGTTTTCTGACCAGCGCGGGTGGGCACCCTCTGTACACGTCTTCCCAGCAGGACAGAATCCCGCAAGGTAAAACCGACACAGCTTCCTTCTCACATGTCGTTTGGCGCAGATAGGACCCAACGGACAGAATCCTTGGTCATAATGTTCGCATTGCGGCAGCTTTGCATCACCAGAGAGATGCTGATAGAGACAGTCATCCCCGTTGGGGCAAAATCCGTTACGGGAAAAGGACTGGCATTCTGGCATCCGCCGTAGGTTGTACTCGTGTAGATATTCACATTTCAGCCCTTTCTTGCACAGGCCCTTGAGATAATGCTTGCATACCAGACTCCCATGCGTGGACGAAGGGGCTATCGCGGGAGACGAAGAAGTCGATATGCGAGATGGAGTCGGGTGTCTCTCAGCACAGAGCGGGCCGAGCGGACAGTGGCCTTCTCGGTAGGCCTTGCAAACCGGCACATCGGAAGCAAGGGCGAAGCTGAAGGATTTGGCAACGAAGTCTGAGAAGGCAAACTTGGTGAAGTTGGGGTCTCGAGGCGTTCCGGGCGAGACTATCTGGTCTGCGATTCTCTGGACTTCGGCCATGACGACGACAAGGACAGCGACGGTGACGTCTCCCTTTCCCGTTGTGCTCTGTTGTGCCGCCGGTCGGGACCTTGGGAGTGTAAATATAACATGAAACGTGTGTCTCGCGTGCTGGGCAGCCCAGTCTGGATGTGTATCTGCCTGTCCCGTTCCCCCAGTGTGCCTTGCAGAGCTCCTTGAGCTTTCTTTCTCTGTTTTCTTCGCTTTCTGTACGTCTTTTTTGGTCGTTTGTTTTTTTTTTTTTTTTCTTTTTTCTTTTTTTATAGCTTTTTGGCGTCAAGCAAGCAGGTGGTATTATGTAATATAGATCACGTGAAGGTTTCTTGATATAAAACTCTCCTCGAGGAAGCCAAAGCAAGAGAACAGGCGGGAAAAAGGGGCAACGGAAGAAGCGGCCGAGGAGGCAAGATAAAAAAAAGGCCGAGGACAGGAGGCGGATCGGTCGGTGAGGGCTTCGTGCGATCGCTGGGCCTGGCGAGGTATCGCGATGCTGGGCGTCTAGACTTGGTCTGCACCATGCCTCGTGTGAAATACGAGAAAGCGCAAGGAAGCCATACCAGTTGATTGATTATGCTTGCTTTTTCCCGAGCACTAAAGTGAAGGGACTTTCCGTCCGTTCGCGACTGTGCTGGCGCTACTACTTGGGCTAGTTACCCCAAATTTATACTCCGTACACCCTGCGCTGCCCCGGCTCGATGACAGCATCATCATCTCAGCCCTCGTCATGTATCAGCGGACCAGGCGCTTCCACCGCTCTCCGCGCATCTCCAGAGCCATCGTCTGGCCGGAGGCAGTGGGCGCCCCGACCAGATTGCGATCACGAAGAGCTTGGAGGAGGAAGAAGAAGAAGCAAAGAATGGCTGCAACGAGCGACCACAGTCCGCCGTGACCCCCCCCCCCCTTAAAAGAAAACTCATTACATGCAACCTTTCTTCTTCGAAGTATACATATACTCGCACACCACCGTTTCCATGTTTATTTTTCGCATCTGCCTCCGTTCGGCCTGGATGAGAGAAACCAACTAAACGGCTGAATTATATTTAATCCGTCCGCTCCCGCTTCCCCTCCCCTGCTGGCTCGTTCATGCATGCGAGAGGCCTTTTTCTTCTTCCTTTACTCCTGATCGGTTTTTTTGCTGGTCTCGTGTCCACTTACCAGAAGGGGCGTCCCTCAAAACTAACCCTGCATGTTTTTCTCTCCCTCCCCCCTTCTCTCTCCCTCCTTCGGTGCTTCTCCTTCTCCTGTGTCGTCTGTCCTCTGGCAAAGACTGCAGTCGGGTTTTTCTCCGTCTCTATATCGCCCATGTGTTGAAATGTTCCGGTTCAGCCCGTCGTCGTGGTATCCCTCTAGAGACGCAATGGACAGCCAAGCACCGCAGGTGGGCGCCGCATCCATCAGCTGTATCGAGCAGTCCCTCTGCCAGATTCCGATATTCTCAAACGCCGTCTACTACCCCAATTGGCGGATATACAAGAGTAGCCCTCCGTCTTCGCTGAAGCTGGGCTACGTCTCGCATGTTTTTTATGCATTTGCTTGGTGAGATCCTCCCGCTTCCCCTACATTTGTGGCCGGCCCCGCATAACTCCCTGGATGTGATCGCGGAGCATGTTGCCCGCCATCGGGTAATTTCTGATAGAAGGGCCGAGACTGACTAGAGATGACATATGTTGTCGTGTGTTTTGGTATATAGGGTCAAGCCAGATGGCACAGTATACGTCAGTAGCCCCTTTCCCCCTGTTTATTACATTGACGGATATGATTGGAAGGAAAATAAGTCTAATCCAACCATAGTTGAGCGATGAATGGGCCGACGAACAGATGCCGGTAGACGGTGCAAAGGGTTGCATCAGAGCGTTCACCCAGTCGAAGCGGCAATATCCACAGCTAAAGGTCATCCTCTCAATCGGCGGAGGAGGAGCTGGCAGCGAGAACTTTGCAGCCGTTGCTGCGGATCCAGTTTTGACAGCGAACTTCGTGGAGACCGCAAAGAATCTGGTCGATAAGTTCAGCCTTGATGGGCTAGATGGTACGAAATACTCCATCTGTACCTGCATTTCACTTGCTCAGATGCGGACCTAGAACTGCAACATGCTAATTATTCTGAACCCATATTTATAGTTGACTGGGAGCACCCATCTGACCCCCAGCAGGGTATAAATTACATATCTCTCCTCGCTGCTCTTCGAGAACAGCTGCCATCGCCTCAATACATCCTCTCATCCGCCCTGCCGGCCGGTCAGTGGGCCCTGCAACATATCAACCTACATCTAGCGCAATACTACCTTGATGTAATAAATGTCATGACATACGATTTCTCCGGCCCATGGGTACCACAGAGCGGTCACCAATCTCAGCTCTTCACTCCGGAACAACCACATAACGACGCCGCTCAGCTATCATGCAGCTCTGCCGTTTCATACTTACTCGCCCAAGGTGTACCGCCTCATAAAATCTTAATGGGTATACCGGTATACGGTCGTGGTTTCCCCGGTACCAACAGTGTTGGACAGTACTCATGCCCCGCGTCTGATGGATCCGACAAACCGGCAGATGATGGCGCAGGTAACGAAAAGGAGGTAGTATTCGACTATTGTGATCTCCCGGTGCCAGGTTCGATAGAGCAACATGACCCCGAAGTTGGCAATGCAGCATTTTGCGTCGACAACGATCAGAATGCCGGGTTCATCTCGTACGATTCACCACAGAGTGTCAAGTTGAAGGCACAGTTTGTTAAGCAGACGGGTCTGGCGGGGCTGTTTTATTGGCATATTGCCGCAGACTCGACTACTGCAGCCAGAAGTTTGATTGCTACAGGGTATAACACCATGCATGATTTGTAGGAGCGTTTGTTATGTTGTTGGGTTATTGTTTGGCTCTTGTTGTTTGAAGAGCACATCGGAGTTACGGCATTTTCATGGTTCCTCATGCATCGGATATTGGAAGGTGCTTAGCTTGTAGTTATCTTTGTCTTGGAATCAAAAAGCACATGGCATATCTACTGTTGCTGTTGTTCTTCGTATTCAAGGGAGCAGGTACTGATGTTTTCTTATCGACCGTCGACCTGCAGGCTGCCCTGTATGTTAGAGACATTAACCTCTGGGATGTATCATTTGGCTACGACCAGCTTTACACAGACATGATTTACCTTGGTGTCTATGGAGATTACTCCGTGTGCGCAAAAATTGTATATTCGGGCTCGAGAACAAAAGTGTCTACCTTCTACCCTGATTGCCTTTCAACAAGCCATGAGATATAGCCATAACTTATATACCATGGCTTATCATAGCTTTATTGAAGGTGACTGCATACTATCTACAGGGCACCACTAGGAGCTATGGCAATCATGAAACAGGTACAATATTAGAGGAGTACATGCTACTGACGTCGCTGAGCCAATAGTAAATGGGAGGAGCTGTTGAACCCTGCTCCCAATATATATACCCTAACGAACCATTCAACAATACACCCAACCACTATCATCACACCAGCAAAGCAATATCCACCCACCCCCACAAACGCAACGTAAAGAACATCACGCTTCTCATGACCGTTATCGCCCGATAAATGCTCGTCGGGAAAACATGTATGGGCAAGAGACACTGATGCCTCACCTACATCCGTGCCGCCGTTGGTGTCGCCCCATACGCCGTAGAACTGTAGTTTAATTAAATAAAATATCCGTCTCCACGAGCGATAAGGTTTTCTCATACCAATGTACCATTGCATACCACAGCCACGACGCTGAGTGACTCTACGTTCGAGGCGGAGGGCATGTAACTTGGCTCCGAGCCCTGGGTACCCAGCACGACGTATGCGTGTTTGTTGGAATCTAGATCTTCGATGCCATAGCGAGGTACCTCGTGTTTAAAGGCTGTTTGGTCTTGTCCTGATGGGTCATTGGCACAGGCTCCCTTGGATCTTTTGATGCCGTCACAGTCAACGTCCATGTCTGCCGAAGCCGCGCGGTCCGAAGACCCTGTGATGTAGATGATGCCTTCGTGGTCGCCGCAGTAGGTGAAATCGCCTTAATTACATGCCAGTTTGTTAGTGGATAAAATAGCCCTTTTCATGAAGGGGGGGTATCTTGATATAGGTTGGGGTGGGGGTATACTTCGGTTGTGCCCGTCGGTGAGCCTGGTGCTGCTGAGAGGGGGGTGGCAGCGGTTACTCTATGCAAGTAACCGTTAGTATGGTGGTGGGCGTGGTGTTTGTCCGATTGATGTATATGAGCTTATATATATGTAGCACCCGCCTTTGCGTGGTTGTACAGCTTCTGCAGATTCGCAGGTACAGGACGCCTGGCCGCGGAGGCCAGTACAGCAAAGACCAGAACGGCCAGGTAGAGGGTTAACTTCAGGAGTGTAGCCATTGCCATTGATTTTGAATATTCAGAGAATGAGTACGCATCTTTGGCTCTTCAACCTGGACTACGCTGGCGGATTTAAAGTAGTTGCAAAAGAAGAACCCCCATTATCCAACTTACATCCTCATTCCTCCATCCTCCATGACGAGGACGATATAAGGCCGATATGAAACGGTCATGGCAGGCGCTTTGCACGACGCCGGCCATGCTGAAGGGAGCTCCGATGCAAGCTCGTGGGATTACATGCCGTGTGTGCTGTCTACGCGGCCATGGGCGAGGCTAGAGTTGGACAGAGAGGCAGTAAGGGGCGCGTGGAGGAGATATTTCAGGCGAGCGAGCATATCAGGATGCCGACAGACGGTAGCCGATGCTCTTCATGGAGATGGCCGAGGGGTATATGTTCTGCACTATCGGTGTAGATGGACACCTGTCGTGAAGCATGCTGTATCAAGCACGTTACATAGAGAGGGTACGTGCAGGGCCATACTGCCAGGCGGCCATGTGTTTAAATCGGCGGGTGTCATGGTGTAGCACCGGGAGTATGTAGGCATCTGTACCTGCATACATGCCGTCCACCCGTCCAGAATGATATCTCCGTATCCTCCATGTCACCATGTGGTAACGATCATAGTCACAGTTGAATATCTAAGAGTTCAAACTCTGGGACGTTGTCTTAAGGCTAAACGGCTCCTTCCTTCTTCGTCAAGGTTAGTCTTCCGCTTACCTAATACCCGTCTTACTAACAAGCTCTAACATCCGGCCCAAACTCCGCTCTTACTCCGGCCGCGCGGCTCCACGCCGGCGGAAACTTCCCTTTTCTCCTGTTGACCCCTTTTTCTTTCTCCTTTTGCGTCTCCCAAAACAGCCCTTGCGTGCCATGTAATCTGTAACCTGGTCCGGGTTTAGGATGAAGCGAAGGGAGAACCCACCGTTGTCTCCATCAGACCAACGAGGGACGCGATACCCAACAGAACCAGCATGAGCCAATGGCATGTGTTGCAAAAGTGCAGTCGGGTGGACTGGCTCGACTTTTGGCATAGGGTAAATGGTAGAATCGATGATGCCAAGAAAGAAAAAAATTGAAGTCTGGTTGGGGCGCATGACCCAGCTGAAAAGTTCAAGGAAATTGGAGTAACCTCGTTGGCTGGAGATGGCCGGTTAGTTTCCCCGGTAACGTTAGTTAACCAACCGATCTGAAAACTAGGCGCGATGCGATGCGATCGAAGACATACTAGTGGGCGATAGAAGGGTGGGTGAGAGAAAAGACGGTAGTAGTTAGTTAGCTGGGAGACGAGCCTACTCCATTGACTCGCCTCTTGACAGCACGTTAGTGTTTGAGAGCAGAGGCAGGAAAAGGGAAAGAAGAAAAAGGGCTGAAAGTGATTTGCAAGATCTTCCTTTTCTTCGTGAGCGTGGAAGATCGGCCTGGGAGGGCGTTTTGGTAGAGTTGGTAGGGCGAGATGCATGCAAGCAATAATCACTAGTTAGGTTGATGGCCAAGCTATGATTTAATAGAAAAAGCTTGTTATCATGCTTAGAGGCAAAGGCAGCTCGGTTGGTGTACACGGAAGTAGCATCGTTAGGTCGGCGATGGACTGGGAATGGAAAAGGGGATGGATGGACATTGAAGTGAGGTATCATTCATTTATCGTGATAGGTATATAGGGTGAAAAAAACAAGAAGTCTGTACAAATAATCGAATGCAAAACAAACCTGGTGCCCGTCCGGTATATATATAGCCTTTCCATACATACATTAGTTCAGTAAGGTAAAGCGAGAAGTAAGGGTAGTAAAAAAGAAAGAAAAGAGCAAGAGCAAATAGGTATTATTTATTTCCCTCCACTTAGGATGGCGGGGACGTTGAGGTCGACCATGAGGGTGTTTGCGGCGACCGCCTTGGTGTAATATGGTAGTTCCTTGCCGTGGGCGACGCTAGAGTTGCCGAGGATAGAGACGGGGACGATACCGTTGGGGTATTTGCTTTCCTTGCCGGTCTGCTTGAGGACGTAGGCAAGGTCAGCTTTGGCGAACATGGGGATGTTGTTGTCTCCTGGTTTGATGACAACGTCGTGGAGGACAGAGTAGCCGATTGGGTGGCCGTCGACAGCCAGGTTAAGGGTGAGGTTGCCCTACATAGGTTAGTATAGATATACATATTGAATGACTGGGTGTCGGCTTACCATGTCCAGAGTAAGGACTGAAGGGTTGGGGATGAAGGCGTTGCCCTTCATGTTGTATTCGGTGTCTGGAATGTTTCCGATCTTGATATCAGTGACGTTGAAGCCCTCGAGGTGGTTCATTCCTGGTGACAAAAGTTAGCGAACAATGATAGAGAGTACGTATAAACCGAGAATGGCTCACCCTTGAGAGTGGTGGTCTTGTCGTAATCGACGTCCGTCTTCTGCAGGCCACCGAGCTTAAGCTTAGTTGTGCCGATGATATTGAGCTTGACTTCCTTGGAGAGCATGATGGCCTTGGAGAAGGCGGCGAAGCCCTCTGCGTTCTCGATCTTGACGTCTTGGTCGATGATGGCCTTGACTCCGTCGTCGGCCTTGACCTGGGGAGTGTGGAGGGTCATGAAGGACTCCTGCTGGCCCTCGAGGTAGACTTTGGCGTCGAAGGGGTCGAGAGTAGGGTGGTACTTTGACTTGGAGCCGATGACCTGGGTGACCTTGACGTGCAGCGCATCTGGTCTTGGGTTGGTAGTCTGCATGTCTGCGATGGTGAGGGTGGAAGCCGAGACATCTTCCTGCGCCAGTTTGGGGTATGCGACGAATATACTATAACAATATCAGCATGGAACAAATATATATATGTGTGTATCGAATAAGCCTGGACCTACACTGGGAGGACGATAACCAGGACGACAATGACGAGGATGATGGCCAGCAGCCACCAGAATCGACGGCAGAAGGCGCCAATGCGAGACCCAAGCGACCCCTTGGGGACGGTGTCGATGGTCTCGATATTGTGTTTGCCGGTCATGGTGAGCTTTCCTCTGTGGCTGGGAGGGGAATACGGAAAGACAGAGAGGTAGAGAGAGGAAAAGCGGAGGGCGGCTAGCTCTCTAATATATGCAAGTCAAGCCCCCCCGACACCGCGTAGAGATGAAGGGTAACTTGGGGGAGGGTCCAGTTGTTGATATGTACGGGAATGCCAGGCGGTGGTTATGTATAATGTCTGGCAACTATATATGTGTAATATGTAATCTAGAGCACCCCCCTGGTTAGCGCGGACAGCCAAAAGCAAGAGAAGAGGGCGCAAATTGTCGCACGATGACGCCGGAGTGCATGTTGTTCATGCAACAGAGACGGAGAAATGGAAAGGGGGGGGGGGATGTTAAGAGGAAAAGCCGGTCCTACCTGAAGTCCTGTGCCAGCAGCACTCACAGACGAGAAGCGAAGCAGAATTAGAGAGAAGGAGAAGAAGAAGCCAGCAGCCAGCAAGGAGGAGGAGGAGGAGGAGGAGACGGGAGTCTGCGACGGTGGGAGATGAAGGGACGGGGGGGAAGGCCGGGCGGCTTATTATACTTAAAGCAAGGACGGCGTCAAGGCATGAGATAGACGAACGAACCCGCAGCCCGAGAAAAGCCAAAGGGGGAAAAGAAACGAAGGAACGCCAGCATGCGCAGGGATATTCTGGCATGGAGCAGTAGAAGTAGAGCGAAGAGTAAGTAGAAGAAGAGTAGACGAGAAGACAGCTCGGTGGAGGCGACCTTCTTTGCTTTTTCCTTGCCCTTTTTTTTTTTATGTACATCCGGGATACAACAACGAGCTGCTACGCGGACAGCCATACGGAGTACGGTGTCTCCAACGGGGTACGGGGAGGAGGAGGAGACTCGCAGCGGTGATCGAAGGACGGTGGTTGGGCGGGCGGCGCAGGAGAGGCCCATCCTGACCATTAACCTACTTCCCCGTGGAGAGCTGCGAGATGGGGATGGAGATGGAGATGGAGATGGAGATGGAGATGGAGATGGATGCACGATGCACGATGGAGAGAGTCCGGGGTAACCAGCGTGGAAGGGGAGAAGAAGCTTGTGATGCCGACGAAGCTATAGCGCTGGCAAGTATAGAATTAGCAGCAGCAGCAGCGAGTGGTTGGTGAGCGAGTCGTGAGCGTGAGTCGTCT